CTTAACCCCCTAAAAATGAAATTTTACTCACTATTTACTCCCTATCAAGTGGTTTCAAAGCTTTATTAGTTTTTTTTATTCAGTTGAACGGATAAGATTTTTTGAAGAATGCTGAAAACGTGTATTCATTGACTTCTATTTTTTTCTGTTATGAAAATCAATGGTTACAGGTTTACAGATTTCTTCAAAATATCTAACAGAAACAACAGAAACAAAATCAAAGAGGTTTGGAATAAGTGAAGGAAGCATGAGTAAATTATGACAGGTTTTTTGGGGGGAAACTATCCCTTTAACCGCATTTAGAGAATGCTGTAGCTTAGGGGGAATTAAAATATTATGTTGTAATTTTTTTAACAATGAGTAATCATATTCTTCCTCTTCTAACTCTTCATCTTTGTATTATAATAATTTTTTTATTATTATCAAAGTTTGCCAGGACTGAATTGCAGCTGGAAGGACATCCGTTGTGTAAAACATATGAAGTTCCTAATGTAAGAGCCTGATCAGCCAGAGGGTCAGTCAATTATCACGTGTGTATATAAATAGCGGTCTTTGCACTGGTTCAGTTGACTTTTGTTCTGACATCCCTTCACCTCCCCATCTCCTCCTCTGTTTTAAAAATTAAAAAATAAACCCATACTTGAATACTTGGAGCTCGAGTCAAGCCTCGAGCCTTTTTTGAAGATGGGAGGTCTAAGCTTTCATAGGGGTTTGATATCTCAGGCGCCTGCTTTAGGACATCAACGCCAAAATCGTTTACCACGTTAACGCAATTGAATAAGCTGGTGAAATGGTGAAGTTGGCGGTTCATGCCAATCCCTGATGAATAAAGGGATCAAGATACATTTTTATCAAGTCAATTTCTATAAATTTAAACTATAAAAATAGTTTTACATTTTTTAATAATGAGTAATCACATACTTCATCATCTTCTCTGTCTATTATTCTTCTTATTACAGAAATTATGCTTATATTTAAAATATAGTATTTTATATAAAAGTCACTCACACTTTATTTTGATGGTCCGTTTTTGAATTGAAGCTAAATTGCATCTACATACCAACTAATTCCTATTAGATTATAAGTAGACTGTTAGGTTGAGGTTAGTGTAAGTTGACATGTACTTGCAAAGTTTCTCATAGTCAGTTAAATGTCTGTTGAATGTCTGTATTCAACATACAATATAACCGATATTAAGCAAACAGTCTACCAATACTCAAATGGACCATCAAAAAAAAGTGTTTTTTATATATAAAGTATGTAACGGAGACAGGCTAGCAAAGTGCTATGCAGGTAAAACTCACTCCTCTGACCTCTAAAGGTGCTCCTTGTTAGAGCAACCAACTAACATGCAAAGAATCACCAGTTCGATCCCAGCTCAGTGTAGATTGGGTGCAGTAGGATCGGTGTGTTATATATACATATTCATTCATTCATTCATTCAGTCATTCATTCATTCATTCATTCAATCATTTTCCTTCGGCTTAGTCCCTTATTTATCAGGGGTTGCCTCAGCAGAAGGAACCACCAACTATTCCAGCATAGGTTTCACACAGCTGATGCCCTTTCAGCCACAACCAAGTATTGGAAAACACCCATACACACTCATTCACACACAAACACACACACACAAACACACACACACAATTCCCCAATAGTGCATGTCTTTAGACTGTAGGGGAAACCGAAGCACCCGAAGGGGAGAACATGCCAACTGACCGAGCAACTCGAACTCGAACTAGCAACCTTCTTGCTATGAGGCGACATTGCTAAACAATGAGCCACCGTGATGCCTATATATACACCATAAAAATAAGAAACATAATATTTATACATAATATAATACTAACTTACAATATTTGGACTTATTTCTGGCTATACATAGAGTCTGCATTACGCCGTTTGAACATTTTAAGTGGTAAAACAAGTAAAAAACTAAACAAAATGATAATTTTGATAACTGTATTTGTGTAAATGACAAAAAAGCTAAACACACACGTGGCTGTTTGCCCTGGCAAAAAAATAAGCCCATCCTTAAAATGCAGTTTAATCTTTGTTATATTTGAATGCATTCAAGTGCTGCTGACCTACAGCCCATGTGGCAGCTTCCCCACGTGATAATTATCACAGTCGATCCGTTCAATTAAACGAGGTATTTATCATGATATTGACATTACCGCCAGCAGAATAAGAGCTCTGTGTTTAATCACACCAGCCGTTTCCAAAGAGATTCAGTGTGCTAATGGCATTTTACATACACAGATATGGCAAGCTGTTTTGACTGAATAATTAGGAGAGTAGTGTCTGATATTACTATACAAACTAAATTAAAGGCTTTCACGAGTAAGAAATGTATTTCTGTGAACTAGCAAGAACACAATTTTGATTTCAACAAACAAATTTGAATATGGTGACATTAAACTAGTGAAAATGCAGTTCCAGATATCATTCATTCATTTATTCATTTTCCATCAGCTTAGTCTCTTTATTCATCAGGGGTCACCACAGCGGAATGAACCGCCAACTTATCCTGCATATATTTTACACAGCGGATACCCTTCCAGCTGCAACCCAGTACTGGGAAACATCCATACACACTCATTTACACACATACACTGTGAGGGGATACGGAGCACCCGGAGGAAACCCACGCGAATGCAGAGAGAACATGCAAACTCCACACAGAAATGCCAACTGTCCACGCTGGGACTCGAGCCAATGACCTTCTTGCTGTGAGGTGACAGTGCTAACCACTGAGCCACCGTATTGCCCCAAATTATATTTTTTCTGAGTTGAAATTTAACTGAAGTGAGGATCCTGTCATCAAGACATCAAGACATCATTACTGACATCAAGAAGAGTGAACATTTTTACTAGTGGAAATGTAATTCCTGATATCAAAAGCCTGACAGAAGAACATTGAATCCTAAAATCAAGAGTTAGCATTGTAACTGTTGAAAAATGAAGTGTTTATATCAAGAATTATATTTTTACTAGTTAAAATTAATATTCCTGATATCAATAATTCCATTTCTGCAAGTGAAGACGTAATTATTGATATCAAGAGCGAACAATTTGACTAGTGGAAATGTATTTTCTGATTTCAAATCAGATTAAATCGAATTATTAAAATCAACGGCTAGCATTATAACTGTTGAAAAATTAATTGTTTATATCAAGAATTATATTTTCATTCATTCATTCATTCATTTTCTTTTCGGCTTAGTCCCTTTAATAATCTGGGGTCGCCACAGCGGAATGAACTACAAACTTATCCAGTATGTTTTACACAACGGATGCCCTTCCAGCTGCAACCCATCACTAGGAAACATCCATACACACTCAATCACACACACACACACACACACACATACAGTATACATAAATTTAGCCTACCCGATTCACCTATACCGCATATCTTTGGACTGTGAGGGAAACCTGGAGAAAACCCACATGAACATGGGGAGAACAGGCAAACTTCACACAGAAATGCCAGCTGACCCAGCCAAGGCAATTGCTGTGAGGCGATTGTGCTATCCACTGCACTACCATGATGCCGAATTATGTTTTCACAAGTTAAAATATAAGTCACATCATGAATAGGGGAGTGCAGGGCACTAAGTAACGCAGAGTAAAATGAAACAGAGTTTTAAGGTATTTGCTCAGGGTTAACCATGGCATGCTTCTGAGGTTTTCACCACAGTGTCAGCAGACGTCTTCCTGCCAATTATTAAAAAGCTTTGGTGAAATTCGGATGAGAAACACAGGAGAAACCATTTTTGCAGCATGAAAGTATTTTTTGTTATACTCTATATTTTTTATTTTTAAAAATCTGTGAAAGTATGCAAGCACAACCTTTTATTGTTGTGATTACTGTCGTCTACGCTAAAAGATGGGACCATTTTGAAAGACACACAGTGACTGCTAGCCAGATTTGAGGAAAACTCGACACAATAGGGTATTACAAATAAGCCACACATTGTTGGACACTAACTAAGCAAACAAAATAATTTTGGGATTTTTTTTTATTTATTATTTTATAGGGGTTTTCACCTTTTATTGAAAGGACAGTGGAGATTTACTGACAGAAAAAGTATGGGGAGCAGAGAGAGGGGAAGGATCTGCTAAGGGCCTCAGGTTGTGAATCTAACTCAGGACATCGTGAACACCTAGGTACTATATTTCGACCCACTAACCACTAGGCTATTGGCGCCAACTCATTTTTAGATTGTAAGTTTAATGTAGAAATAAATTTATGGAATTTTTTTTTTAGAAAAAAAAAAGATTGCTAATAATGCAAATAAATGCATGGTGTAATAATGGTTAATAATGCCAATAAATCCAAATGTGTTTCACCAATAAATAAACATGCTGTGCTATGTAGAACAAAATTAATGAAGTACTGAGGAAATATACTATTTAAAATAAAGAGAATGTAAATTAATTGTGTGAAACCTGCCTTTTTAAGCATGCGTGACAACAACCCTCTGTCTTTTACAACTTGCCAGCAAGTGGGGTAAATAGTATCATTTTTACTTCTGGCACTTTGGGCAATACTGCACAGAAACCATAGGTCTGGTGATCATACAACCAGTGCTCATTTGTAAGAGAGGCTTGTGTGTTGTTGGTAGAGCAATATAGTTTGTCTAACCCCATTATTTTTTGCAACCAAAAAGTGTTGCTTTGTGCCCTACTCTCCCCTACTGTTTTTGCGAGTGATGGCATCAGTATTGATATTTAGAATTGACATGTTGACAAGCAGAAATGTAAAAATTAATGGCTGAAATGAAGAACTAGCATGTTTACTCACTGAATTGTTGAAATCACTAAGAATTCACATCTTGCGCGGATGAATAAAAGTCAAAAGGGCTTGCCATACAGCACAGGCACACTACAGGTATATAATTACCACACACTGCCATCTAGCGCTGAAACATGATATGGCGCTTTAATACCACAGGTGGTCCCGTGAGAAAGGGTGGGTGGAGATTCGCGCACAGGTGCTATTCGTTTCAATTAACAACGTTTATATTCAAGTCGACTGGTCTCCCCTTAGACCAATAGTTTTTAAAGTATGAACATTTAAAATGTTGTCACTTCACTAACTGTGCCCTGTTATCTCATTTAAGTTAGTATTTTGAAAGCAATGTCGTGTGAAATGACCGGCAAAAAGTTCAGAGCCATAGTGGGACTCATGAAGGTCCCGGAGAGAGAGCTCATGGGGGATGTTTTACTGCGTGAAAGTGCTGAACCTTCCCTCCCCGTTCACGTCAATATCGGTAAATTCGTGCGTTTGGATGACGGCCAGTACATCGACACGGAGGACCGAGATAAAGCTGTGAAGAGGCGACAGCTCGCAAACGCGAAGGAGAGGCTGCGGGTGAGTGAGCGTTGACAAAGTTCACGACAAGAAGCCGCTTTATTTATTCATTCATTCTCTCATAACCTTTTTTGGCTTTTTGCTGCCCTCTTTTGGCCAATTTCGAGCCACAGGTTTGCATTCACTGCCAAAAATAAGGCTACAAATGCTGTCAATGAAGAACTAAATTATAATATGAATCCTTTAGGGGTAAATAATGTACAACAAATGAGCAATCCCATGTACATGTCAGCCTGTATTTACAAAAATAGTGAAACTCTAAGTTTTTTTAATGTAGTTTTATTTTTTACAGTACTCAGTTTAAATAGTTAAGTTAAAAATACCATATAACCCAAATAGGTTGTTATACAGGCCCCTAGCCAGGGGGGTTGGGTGGTTCGGAAGACCCACCCCTCTCTGACAAAGATCCAGAGTTTGTCCCATACATGAGCTCATTTGTTCTATTTTGACGGCTATGCTATCATAAATAGTAAGAAATGACCTGTCGGTGATCCTAGTGTGATTTCAGTTAATCAGTTTTGGCCAATACAAACATTATTTTTTAATGAGTCCAGCATCCAGTTGTGCAAGAAAACATCTGACATAGTAGAAGTCATCTTACACTACTGTATTGTTTTTATATGGAGAAAACATCATTTAAAATGGATAAAAGTCATTTTATTCTAAATAGTGAAGCTTATTCTTGAAAGAAAACATGACCAATAAGAAAGCACAAGAGTGTCTAGAAAAATTGTGAAGCTCTAAATTGTTATTATTATTATTATTATTATGTTTTAACTTCTTATCATTCAAATGGCCAAGTTCTGACTGAGGAAAGTTAATTGTGCTGGCCAGTTAGTTATTTGCCTAATACATTACAATAGGCTACAGTTAGAACTTTTTTTCTAGTGATATATGATGTGATAAATTAGTATTTTAAAAATAATTTTTGTCCTGTTTCTTTATTCTAAATATTTAGGAAATATTTTTGGTACATTAAAAAGTATGATGACCATCCAACTAGCTAATCCAGCTAAAAACAATGTTTAAAATGTCTCTAAATGGAGCATTTAAATCTGATAATTAAATAGAAAATGAGGTAAATAACCAAAAAGGTTCACTTTTTGAGAAAAAGGAATCCCCCCTTTCATTAGGCTGGCTACAGGCCTGTTATAGCGCAGGGGTGCCCAAACATTTTCGTATGAAGGGCCAAATACCAAATATCATGGAGAGCCGTGGGCCGAAGATAATATACCAAACTGTTTTATATTAAAGTTGCCATGGGTAATTTCCTAATTAATGTCATATTTTTAATAAATAAATTGGAAAAATATTACTTTAGATTGTATTATATTATGCAGTATAACGTTTAAAACATAAACAATCCTATCTCTAACACAGTGAAGTTCAATGCTGAATACTCTAGTCAAGCAGAGTCTGCCTTTGACTGGATTTGCTCACCAAAGTCTCTGCATTGTCAGGTGACAGTATGTAATTTAAACAAAATCTGAGTAATTTACATCCATGACATATGACATGACCCATTTAATTTCAGTTAGCTTTTAACAATATAACAAACAAAGGGTTACAATAATTTCGAATTGACATTATCTAAACCATCTCCATCATTCTCCCTCTCTTCTCAGATGGAATGGCAGGCCAAATCAAAGGTTAATTGATTTGGCCCGCTAGATGCCTAGTTTGAGCATTTCTGTTATAGCACCTTCCCAACCATAGGTTATTTTAACTCAATGCATTGATATATATATATATATATATATATATATATATATATATATATATATATATATATATATATATATATATATATAATTTATTTTATTATTATTAAATGTTTATCCATTCTGGTATTACTATTGCTATTATTACTAGTACTACAATTAATTTTATAATGATGGCTGTATAAATCAAAAACATACAGTTTAAGAACTATATTGAGAATGCTTTATTTCCATAACATTTTAAATTCTAGGCACACAATCACATCACAAATAATAAAGAAACAGAACAAAGTACAGACAGTTATAGACCTTTTTGACGGATGTAAACGAAAACAATGGTCCCTGCGTATTTCCTGTTTTACATTTTTAATTTCCACAGCTTTCGAGAATCCAAAAAGAGCCACATATTGATAAATAATGTTATGATGGCTGTTTTAACATATAGATAAGATTGAATTGGCCCTTGTAACAATTGTGAAATAGTTTGATGACAAGCAGGAAATATTCATGAGCCAATATGTGTGCTGTATAGAGGCATGTAGGTATACTGAAAAACATTCAAGAAAGACATTCTATCAGCAATGTACATTGTCTGTTTCTGATATAAAAACATAAATTCAGTAAATATATTTCATCCCCCCAAAAAATATCTAAAATGGCCTGATGGTTAATTTCTGTGAGTTGTTCTGTAAAGGAATTTGTCATTCACTTTGGTTCTCAGATAAAAAATTTTTTTTATTAAAAACACTACTAATGTACAAACCCTGTCCTTGTCCTTGTCCTCGGCCCAATTAAACTTACAGCTTTAAAAGTTTTGTTATTCTAAAAACTGTTATTTAGGAAAACAACTTCAGAAATAGCAAGTTTAGGTTGTTCTCATTCATGTCAGTTGATTAAAAATATATACTTCTAGTATATACTTGTTAAATTTATTAATTTTACAATTGTTCCCATGTTTCAGTCCTGTCACATTTGCATTAAATTTAATATAAAATGCGTGCTCATGCACAACAAAACTTTTCCTCATAAATGTATGAAATAAAATCAATCATTTTTGTTCTATAGTGAGCTACCTTTCTTTAGATTTGTATTATTTTTAGGGGGTTATGCAGTTTAATTCACAGAATTTCTACAAAGTATGTTGTATGCAAAGTAGCAATATTTTTTTGGTCACATATATAACGCATGTTTATTTTCCTCAGTTTTTGAGGTTTTTTTTTTTTTCAGCAAATGGATTTATTTTGTTTTGAAAAAGGCACTAAGTGACAACTTTTGGAAAAAAATGTTAGTATGTGTATGATTTTTTTATTATAAATTTTATATTTTTTTATATATATTTTGTTATTTTCATTTATTCATTTGTTCATATTTTAATGCATTTAATTCAAGTCTTTGGGCTAATATTAAATAGTCAACATCAGACCAAAATTTAAAACATGAACCAGTTTATTAATTTATTGTAAAACCGTGCATCACTACTTATGTATATAAATGAGGAATAATCATTTTCACAATAAACTGTAAAGTGTCTTTATTAATTTATATTCTTTAAAATGCTTGGTTGTTTCAACACAGATTTGGGTGAAATATGGAAAATTTAAATTTTCAGCATTTATATGAAAGTTCTTCATGGGTTACAGAATAAGAAAAATAAAATTAATAAATTTAAATAAACAAATAAATAAATAAAAGTATTTAAAAAAATAAATATTGCAAATGTAACAGAAGTGGTTAACATTTTTTTTATTATTTTTTGTTTATTATTTAAACATGAATTTGTCCAAACCAACGAATGAGGAAAACAGCTAGTATATAATCATAAGAAGTATTGAGATGTAAGTCAGTCATTTTGTTATCCTAGTTTTTCTGTAAGAATATATGAAAACTGAAAATATTTGCTATTCCAAAGTCATGTGGATAGAATTTGTATCATAATCCTGCTTTAACTGAAGCTCTGTCTTTGTTTTCTCTGACTACACTGGCATTTCCTCCAGTAAATGCACATTTAATAACTGGCTTTGACGGAAAATAAATGTTCAAATGGCAGTTTTTAAGTCTGTCTTATAAGCATAGACGTTTTAAGCTAAATGGATAATTTTGTTTTTCTATTGTAAATCCTGAAAGAAAGCTCTCAGGAGGCTTCCAAATATACAATTTGCCATTATGATGATTACTTTTTGAAATGTATAATTAAAGTCTCGCTGACTTTCTCATGGATGACCTGATGCATTGTGACTCACTCGTTTTAATTAGTCTGCGATGGTCATTTAGTGTGATGCTGGACTCTACAAAACAACAGTGCAGAGTTTTCAGTTGTGGTGTAATTATAGTTTTTACAGAACATGAAGTTCATTTTTCATTTGAAGGTATAGATCAATAAAATAGTTAATGTTTTTTTTTTTTTTATCATGCTCAATATTTTTTTTAAACGTACAAAGTGGGGAAAAAAGCCTTTTTCTTTTCTTAAACAAACATGATCTATCTTTCTCTCTCTTTTTCATCTCAATCTATCTCTCTATCTCTCTGTCTATCTCTCTCTCTCTATCTATCTATATAAATATAGTTGTGGGGATTAAATGGAATGAAAATGAATCCTCTTACTCAAGTTACTCAAATTCTCAATTATAGAAACTACTTTCAAAAATGTGTAATTGCAGAGACTACCTGACATTAGCCCCTTTCACACATACAGACCTTTCCGGAAAATTGTCGGCAATTTTCCAGAAAGGTTGTATGTGTGAACAGGTCCTTTTTGAAAATACCGGTAAATTCGTTCTGGCTATTTTCTGGAAAGAGAAGTTGTAACATTACCGGCAATTTGCCGGAATGCTGCGCTGTGTGAATGCAGAAGAAAGATTCCCGTAATAAGCGCGTGCACGTCTAGAACGTGCTGACGTGAGACGTCAGCTTTAGCCAATCACAACAGTCAGACGCATTTACGTCCGCGCGGTTTGTGAGAATAAAAGCCTTTGAATATTTTTCCAGACACATTTAGCTGCTAGAAGTTAGTCAGATCACGTTTATATGTTCTTCTTAATGCCAACTGTGTAAATAATCATCGATGAGATGCTTATGATAAGCCGTTGTTTGTTTACGTTCGTGTGCCTGTGAAACAGCCTGTGAGCGCCTGCACACGCACATATTATGAACATCTCGACATGCGAAAGTGATCCTGAGAAAGTTGTTCACAATATTGATCATCCACAGAGTTTGTAATTTAGTCAAATGTTTACAAATACAAGCGCAGCCGTTTGAAGCTCATTTGTGTTGAATGATTTCAGAATTTACCGGTATTTTGGAATGGATGTGTGAATGCTCTTTTCCGGAAAATTTCCGTAACGTCCTCGCCTGTGTGAACAGCGCTTTTTTCAATATACCGGTAAAGTCGTTCCGGAAATTTTCCGGATATTTACCGGTATCACTGTGTGAAAGGGGCTATTGTTGATCTGATGCATTGTATAAAGCTCTATGGATAATAAAGGTGACTTCTCACATTCACTTTAATTAGTCTATAGATCGTCATTTACTGTAATGCCAGGCTCTGTATATCCCATTTCTGTGTTTGTCAATACATCGCACATTTTGTGAAAGAAGCTAATCTAGAAATAGGTTTGAAATGATGGGAGTAAATGAAGCAAGTTCTTAGATTACTGTTCAATTAAAGTGAAATGCTGTTGTTCTGCCAGTATAATTCAAGGCAATGATAGCAAGCAGGTGCTCAACTTTATATACTTATATACTGAAATGTTGCATCTTGGTGTCATCATCTGCTGTCCTGCATGTAGGTGAGGAGCCTGAACAGCATGTTCTCGTATCTGCGGCGTATTGTGCCGGTGATGCCTCGAGATCGAAAGCCAAGTAAAGTGGACATGCTGAAGGCTGCAACTGAATACATCCGGCTCCTCTCAGCAGTCCTCAATCACACCTCTGACAAGGTGAGACACAAAACACAAGACTTTTGGTCCAAAATCCTTGTTATATGCAGTACGACTTCAAAGTCCTACTTAACTTTTAAAAATAAAAAATAGATGAATACAAATGATTTGCCATCATTGATTAATTGATTGGCAGGGTAATGAGAATGCTAATGTATTCCTGGAGACTGGAATCAACTACCCAAGCATAAACCCTGACTGCTCTGATCTCTGGAACATGGAGGATGTGAGTTCACTTTAATTTACAGTTAACTTTTATTACAACAAAACAGTGTTTTAACATGCATTAAATGCACCAACCTGACAGTATGTTGTGAAAAACACTACACTCATATTTGAATAGAATAGAATAGAATAGAATAGAATAGAATAGAATAGAATAGAATAGAATAGAATAGAATGGATACTACACTTCAAGTCTAGGGAAAAAACAACATAAGAGTAATAAACGGAAAAACGAATGTGTTGGGGGTAGTGGATTTCCCAAACAAAACAAAAACTTAAGGAAAAAGATCCCCTTCGGTCGACAATCAAACTCGTGTGTACCTACTGCGCCACTGCTTCGCCCTGTTTTGCATATTACACAAGTATTTTTGTGATTATGGGCATCATTGCATTTATTAAAACAAGTCCTTATACGACACTACTAAATTTTGTATTATGCATAGCAGAACATACTTTGAGCTTGATTTTGCTGGGTTATGCAAAACAGAGTGTGGTGCTGCTGGGTATTTTTCTATTATTTTCAATTCATTTTCATTTATACTGTTGTTGTGTGTTTATTATTGTTTTCGGCTATTTGTCATGTATGAATTATACAGAGCTGTTCTTTTAATAAAATGTGGAAGTGAATTGTATTGCGTTTTTAATGGGGTTTGTGAATTGCACACTGCGTAGTGATTGTGGTTTAAAGACCTGTGCTTGTCCTCGTGCATGCGTAAACAGTAAATATCAGAGGAGTGTTTGTGGAGTTTGTGTTAGCGGTTCCCAACAGGGGGGTCGCGGCCTCAGCGAGCTTTGTGGGGGGTCGCGTCATATTTTAAAAAAATCTTAGCAGTGGACAATTAGGATAATGATCATATTGCCTTAGTTCTTTTTATTCCCTTGCTCTGGGGTCATCAGCCACCGTGGATCAATTGGTACCGTGCCTCACAAGAAATGATTAATTATTTCCCTTTTATTTATTATCTGTCTGAACAATCTTTTATTTTGAAAAGTATTTTATTTTGAAAAATTACCGTTTTCTCTCGCTTGCCTATCGGTCACTTGAGTGCCCACAATCAGCAAAATGAGTAAGAAGCAGACGTCTTTTCTTTAGAAAGTTTCTTTGCTAAGGGAAAAAGGCCCTGTGAAGGACCCGCAAACTGCCAAGAAATACATCCACAACCCACTTGTCAACAAATCAGGTGAATCCAGCATGTCTGTGCAAGAAGATCAACTGATGGAGATTGCAAATGATAGTGGCCTTTTAGCGGCTGTTCGCATATCTTGTATTTCTAGAGTTTGCACAAGTTTGTTGTTTCCAATGGAGGTGCGCAGCTTGCGCGCACAAGCGGCGTTACACACTAGCTCCAATGAATCCCGGCCCGCGATCGCACCGCGAGTCATATGAAAAGAAATATGAAAAGAAACAGCTTCAGTTTGTATGGCATTATTTTTCAATATTTTTGATATTTTTGTTATTGAATTTCAAATAGGGTCAATTTAAAGGCCAAGGGTTTAAATATTTTTCAGTTACAAATGGACTACTGATGTTTTGCTTTATAATACATTAGATTATTATTCATTCATTCGTTCATTCATTTTCTTTTTGGCTTAGTCCCTTTATTAATCCGGGGTCATCACAGCACATGTTTTACGCATGCGGATGCCCTCACAGCTGCAACCCATCTCTGGGAAACATTGGGCTATTATTTGTGCATAAAAATATCTTGATATAGTAATAAACATAGTTTGTTTGAAAACAACATTTTTTTGTCATCATTACTGCAAACTTATATGAGTGATCATATCATTAAATGTGGAGGAGGGCCTTACAATATTTTCTGGGGAAAAAGGGGGTCTCAGGCTAAAAAAAGGTTGGGAACCACTGCCCTAGGTGACCGCCTATTGCATGTAGGACAGGCCATCACTGAATCTGATTAACTGATTTATGCTAAGCTAAAAGTGCTTCAACCAGATCCAGACGTGGATTCAAAAATAGTAAAACTTAACTGTTTAACTCTAGAGTACTTGTAAACATAGCCTGTTTTTTTTTTTAAAAAAAAGAAAAAGAAAAAAAGTGTAAGAAGTGGAGTATTTCTTTTAAATTATTTGATTTTGACTGTATTGTAATAATGTACACCTCTTGTAAAGCTGCTTTAGGAGAGTAAATATTGTGAAAAATGCTATAAAGATGAACTTGAATGGAACTGAACTGATTCTCTCTTTGTGTCCTCCTCAGGCTCTGGACTCAATGTCCAGTCCATTTCTGTCTGAGACTATGAGTTTGACCGCTCCTCTGGTCACAATGACGTCAGGAGCGGATGAAGACCTCGATCTGAATAACATGACTGTGCAGTGTGTCGTACCCATGTACATCGTTCAGGTCGGCTCTGACCAAACCATGGTCCCAAGTTCACTCCCATCCTAGATGCAGATCTGCACTTTAGTCACGTTTAGTGCCTTTAATCACTAATGTTTTTCAATATGTGCCTTTAAGATCAAATTTGTGTTGTGCTGTTTGTCTCTATTACGAAAACCGATGAAACGTCAGGCATGACAGGACTGATGGTTAACTTTTCCGAGCTGCCATGAGGGTTTATTTTGTTGTATTATTTATTTTTTTTTATAAGGGTAAACTCCTTTAGAATATGTGAGGAAAATGTAAATGAATTTTAGTTTGAGTCTTTGCAGCTGCTTTATGTTTGCATGTGTACTGTAAATAAATTGTACATTTATCGTAATCTCGTTTTGACCATTTTTTACAAAACATGAATGCCGGGTTAAAAGGCATAGAAATCAATGACACCTTGGTTGCTGGAAGGGCATCCGCTGTGTAAAACATATTCCGGAATAGTTGGCAGTTCATTCCGTTGTGGTGACCCCTAATAAATAGGGGACTAAGCCAAAGGCGAATGAATGGTAATTTTGTACATTTAAAGGGCACCTATGATGAAAATCATCTTTTGTAAGCTGCTTTGACAAAACTGTGTGTAGTGTGTCTACAGTCATATTGGAGTAATATAAAGAAGTCTCTTTTTGTATTTTTTTTTTTATTAATTTATTTTTTTATAATTACCTGACGTTAAAAATGAGGATCCAAATCCCTCTCATTTTGAGGTCCACCTTAACGTGACCTATAGAAATGCGGTTTCCCTGGCCAACGTATTGATTTACAGCCGCCAACTTGTCAAAACGTTTGTAAGCATCGCAACAAAAAAAATCTGTCACACCTTTACATTTAAAAAAAAAACTGATCACACTTTTTGATGTTCATTTTGTTGAATTTAAGTGACATTGCATCTCAATGCCAACTAATTCTCATTAAATTATAAGTAGACTGTTAGGTTGGGGTTAGGGTTAGTGTAAATTGACATGTACTTGCAAAGTTTCTTATAGTCCTTTAAATGTCTGTTGAAGAAGCAGTATCAACAGATCTAAGCAGACAGTCTACTAATACTCAAAAGGACCATCGAAATTGTCACTAAAATATTAGTTATATGCAAAAAAACTAAGGATTTTTAGAACAAAAATAATTGAATGGTTTTTTATAGACTGTGCAGCCTCGAGATACAAATTAATGACTAATGTAATAAATTAGTCATACTAAATGTCTTATTTATACTTTGCCACCATTGTCACTGGAGTTTCTCGATTTGACAGTATTTACCTGTAACTTTTTAAAATGTTTCTTAAAAGAAGTCTATTATGCAAAAGTCACTTTTGTAATAGGTTTAAAACAGTTGTGTGGGAACAGTCTTTGAATATAGCCTGCATTTAATGGTAATAAATTAAGCACACTTCATAAAAAGAGTCTGCAAATCAGTGTTTGATTGACATTCTGCCTTTGTAAAGCTGCGGTCACATTAGAGTTTGAGCATGCGATATTCTGTCATGCGGCGCTTTGAAAAGGGGCGGGATTAAACAAGCTTATTAAACATTTTAAAAAGCGAGCGATTGCTCCATGTTTTAAATTTCTGTCCAGAGATGTCATGTTTTGAACCTCGATTGTTCTCACGCAGTCAAGTGATGCGATTTCGCAGGTCAGAGTTCACCAAGCTTGAACATCGCACCGCAGCAACCTGCAAAACTTGAAGCATGGCTCCGCGTTCCGGTCTGACGCATTCGCGTGTGCATGAATGGAAGTCTATGGGAGGAAAAGCCCAGTGTGACCGCAGCTTAAAGCCTCCTCCTTTCCACTGAACACGACAAGCGACAGACCGGAAGTCATTCATTTCCAATGGAGAGCAGTCCGGGAGCTGCGTTGAGTTCCAATCATCTCCGTATGCGGAAAATTCGGATCCGAATTGAGCTGCGGATCCGTTGAAATATTTGAACTCTTGTGACTAGACCGTATGCGACCTGCCGACCGGATATGATGTATTCCAGTGTTGTCCAAGCAGATCCATGCGCGCAAGATGAGAAATAGGAGTTTATTTGGTATTTTTTTTTTATTATTAAAAAGTCTATATTGTAAAAAAAACTTTTCTGTTCATAAATGTAAGTAAGAAAGTAATAAAATTATATATTTTTAATGTTGTCTTCACAATCCATCCAATATTTTAACGGTCTATGAGTTTCTAGTATTCATTCATCCATTAAACTATGTAAATGCACAGAGAATAAAGGCTCTTGCCCTCCTTTATTTCGGACACCGTGAGAATCAGCTTCTCCCTCGTGGTGCACGACAACACTGAAAATACTGTGCGGCTGCTACAAGGGGGCGTATTCCGACAGTCGTGTCCAAATGTTGTGTGCAGTGGAAAGGCGGCTTAAGTCTTCAGAGGGGGAATCCCCGCCCATTAGTGTTGATCTCTCCCTCATTAGCATACAACATAAGTCTTGTTTTTGAATCTACCCCTATGCTGACACATAGGCGTTTGTAGCCCCACCCTCTTTTAAAAAGAGCACAATCTCATTTGAATTTAAAGCTAAAGACAAAAATAAGACAATTTAGATCAAAGCCTGAAAGGGGCAGTTATAAATCAATATTAGTGTTGAGTTTTGAGCTGAAACACGCTTTGGAGACACCAGAGACATTTATTTTAAGTCTTGTAAAAAGAAGCATAATAGGTCCCCTTTAATTTGTAAAAGTCCATCTATTAGCTCAATGACAAAACTACCAGCATGGTTGAAGGTTAAATGCCTTTTTTCTTGCACTTATGAAAGTAATTGTCTTGTTTATTAGAATCTATTTATTAATATCTAGCTCTGAGTTTAATCTGACTCCAATTTTCTAGTGATCATTAGACTGTGTTTCTAATTGGTAAAGGATCACATCCATCAAAAGTTAGTAATTTTGTGTATTTAATTATTTCAGATACACTATACTTTCAGTTATTCTTTCATTTGGGACTAATTGTCTTTCTGAGTCCATGCGTGGACAATTTCACATGCCTTTCCCATTTGGGCTCGCCAGCGTGATGATTTGTAGGCAACTGTACTCTTACTCGGCCGCCTACTGCTTGCTCTGTTACAGAAAAGGTCTACCCAGTCTTTTACCATGCAACTTGCCAAAAGTGGTCAGAAAGCTAAAGGCCTACGAATAAGTGTTATCTGCTTCTTTATTTTTGATCCTCTGGTGTTTTACAGCCAGTGTGGATCAAACTAAAGGTCAACAAAAGTGTCCACAATTTGCTGGTAATAACAATTTCAGTGAAATTCAAAATATATCTATAACATTTTTATTTGACAGATAAAACTGAATAATGCCAATTACATAAAAAAACAACCAGAAAGCCAACGCAGGGATGACATTGTAAATACACAACATCCATTACTCATAGATAAATTAAAGAGTTAGAGAGGCACACCTGACCAGAGAAGTACGTTGCAGCATATAAGTGTCAGAGATGCTGCAACGGGGTCGCTTGGCTATGAGATACCAATGACATTTTTGCACATTTCGCTTTAAATATTCAACTCAAAAAAACATACAATAAAGATATGAAAAGCGTCACAAAGACCTCCGTCTGGTCATATGTTAACCTAAATACTAATCACCACCTGTGGTAAAACTGGCAATTTCACTCTTAAGTAGGACAGACTTTTCCCAAACTCAATAATTATTATAATAAAAGTGACCACTGAGACATTTGTACCAAACATGACAAGTTAAAAGTTATAGATTTACAGGATACACCATATGAAGAGGATAAAGATTCTGTGTGGACTGTCAGTGACCTGAGCTCTGGGTGAAGAAGTACAAGAGTGAGCAGAGAAGGGGGCACATGATGGGTTACTGAGGCAGACTCATACAATTTCTTAGCAGTTCTATGTGTCTGATATTAAGGAGAGATTTAGCTATAGGGTGGTCAGAATATAAATAAAATATAATAAAATATGTGATTATTATAGATGTTTAAAACCCGTTTAAAAATAATTTTAAACACCAAGTAAAGAACGAAGAGAAAAACATACATGTGACGCTTTTCCACACACCAGCTTTGTGTAATATCATGTAAGCACCGGCAGATGGAGGCACTGCCCGCGTCTTTTAATCCGCATCTGCATCATTCAGCGGGCAAACACATCCAGAATAAATCATCTGTGCTCCAACAAATCCACGCTAATAAACGCCCCACGTTGGATAAACTTATTTAAAATACATAAATGTACTCATTTCATCCGCTCCATGCAAACAAACTGAACGCGCCTTTAAAAAAACGTGCCGGATCTGGATGTAGACGGTGAGGAGGTCATGAATCTGGCAGGCGTGGTCGAGGGCTGGTCCAGCCTGCAATAAACGTCAAAAAACAGAGGGGATGCAGAGGTCTAGGAAAACACAGACCCAAAACAACACCATTCACGCTGGAAAACAAGACCACTGATTGATCTCTTGGTGCTGTTTTGATCTCTTGGTGCTGTTTTAGATTCGTAAAGCGACTGTGCGCGTAAAGGACAAAGAGGAGAGAGGATGCTGTAAGGTGAGCATCTCTTGCCTCATTTCATATTGCATTCACTATTTCGAGCAATACTTGTCAAGATTATCAGGGGTTAAATAAAATATTGAATGAATGTAATTTGGATTGTGAGCGTCAGTTTAACGGTGACAGTGCGCTTATATGATGATGGCATGATGTTGTACGAGTGCACGAATGTAATGTGGGCTAATATTTATAATTACACTGTGATTTTGTAGCTATTACGAACTCTTAAATAGCATTAAACGTAACGCAAATGTTATATTACAATTATATCAAGGTATGCGTGCTGAAATCTGAATATCACTAATAAACTCATGTATTTTTTATTTATTTTTTTAATCCCAAGCCTTAGATTCTAGTTTCATTTAGGCGTTCGTGAATGTGCAGTACAATTGTATGACACTGTAACTTTCAGGCGCCATGATATTTCAAATCTTGTGACTTGTAACCTTCTTTGCTCGCCAATCGTGATTTTTACCTCCAATGTTGAAGCAATACAACCAAGATTGCTTTGTTTTGATCATATTTTATTTCTCAAAACACGCCATGCACCTCTAAATTCTTCCAGTGTGGGCTGTTGTGTTGGTGCCCGGAGGCTGGTGCTGATGCTGCGGGCCTCGGGTTGTTGTTGCTAGGCAGCCGCGTGCAGGCCGCGCCGCGAAAGCACCGGCTCCTGCACAAAAGGATGCACTTTTCATGATATTTTATTAATGCATATGATTTATAAATGTGTTTTAGTGTGTCGTTTGGTCAGTAAGGATGATGTGGTAGTCATTAGCGGATACAGCTCTCTCTTGTGCAGTTCAGAAGGTGTTGTTTTCTTCTGGAAGAGGTGGGCGTGACACATCTTTCCCCATTAAACATGGTTGTTGCTAGATCAGATACAGTTGCGGCCAGAAGTTGATGCAAATTCTTTATATTACATATTAAATTTTCCATTAATTTTATTTTATTTTCATCTACCACAACCCTAAACCCAACGGCCATAGTAAGGTAAAAACAGTTGTACAGAGTATAATGTATGTTATTTATTAAAATTTCCAATAAACTGTATTTTTTAAACGTCGACCCCTACCCCAATCATAAACCCAGTTGCCACAGTACTGTATAAAATAGTAATACAGTGTTACAAAAATGATGCTGTATTGATTTGCATATCTGCAGCTGTATCCCATCTAGACTTTACCCTGAAACATGAGCCCTGGAGGGAAAGAAAGGGTGGCAGAGCTCTCTTTTCAGCTTTCTAAAATCCTAGATGGTAATAAGATGACCTTTTTTGTTAGGGTCAGTTGGCTTTTTCTCTTTTAATTATCTTGTCTTTTTGTGCATCAAGAGTTAATGGAAATTATCATAATGTATTCATTAAATGTGCAGCGGTTCAGTGAGGTTCAGCTGCAGGGGTGAAGGAATGGTTTGAAAAGGATGTGGGGGGAATTATTGAGTTGGCTGGGGTATGTAGTTGGCCTAGATCTTACTGCTTTTTTTAGCACAGATTTTAAAAGTATTTAAGATCTCAATCTTTGTTGTGTTAAAATCAGGGAGTTACTTTTTTCAGCTAGACCACCCTAAGAAAACTTTCATTTACAGTTGAAGTTAGAATCATTAGTGCCCCCCCCCCCCCCCCCCCCCACACACACACAACCACACACACACATTTCGAAGCTTAACAGTTTTGATAGCTCATTTCTAATAACTGATGTATTTTGTCTTTGCTATATGATGACAGTAAATTTTATTAGATAATTTTTTTAAGACACTTCTATACAGCCTAAAGAGACAACTAAAGGCTAAACTAGGTTAATTAGGTTAACTAGGCAGTTTAGGGTAATTAGGCAAGTTTATAACGATGGTTTGTACTGTTGACTACCAGGAAAAAATAGCTTAAAGGGGCTAATAATTTTGACCTTTAAATAGTTTTAAAAAAAATTTAAAACTGCTTTTATTCTAGCTGAAATAAAACAAATAAGACTTTTTCCAGAACAAAAAATATTATCAGACATACTGTGAAAATTTCCTTGCTCTGTTAAAAATCATTTGGGAAATATTTAAAAAAGAAAACAAAATTCAAAGGGGGGCTAATAATTCTGACTTCAACTGTATAATGTATGCATGTATAAGTTTTAATGTATGCAGTATTGTTTTAAATCCACTATAATTAGTTTTAATTAACGTTTTGTAATAGTTTTTAGCTTTTATTTCTTTCGTAAATATGTTGATCTTTTTAATTTTAGATTAGTGTAGTTTCTTGGAACTACGCTGCATATAATATCTGTTCATTTATATTTCTCTGTATGTTATTACTCAGATGTGTTTTCAGTTTATTTACACTTGAACTGCATTATGTGGCGTAGATCTCTGCTTCATCAACTTTGTTGAACTTTTTTTGGAATGACTTTAATTGACATTTTTAGTTGTTTGAAACAATGTTTTGACTTTGGTTAATGGTAAAAAACTGTAAATAAAAATTGAGTAATGGATTTGCAGTACTTTTTTTTTCTTTTATAGCACAGGCTTAAACATAGATTTTTACAATGTTTTTAATATATTACTTTTTCAAAAAAAAAAAAAAACTATTGGCCCCAGATGTGTGTTTTTTTGCTAGTTTCAGCTCAGCACATGTATAATTTTCCCATCCTGCGCCAAGTTGTTTAAATAGCAAATGCATTACTATCTTTTTTCACCCTTGGACATGCTGGTCTGAAAATGAGGTGTTAAGGTGCATTGGTGGTGTGTTTCTATTTTGAGGCATCTGAAATAGTGCAGTAAACAATTAAAGCTGGTCTAAAGTCAGTTTCACAAGGCTTGTACATGTTGCTTGTTCCACACGAAAGGATTTGCAGCATCACACAAACATCTTTAAATATGAAAAATTAAAGGATTCAAATGTATAATATGTTAATGTACATTATAAATATATTTTTACATATAAAAGACATTTCATGCATTCCAATTATCCACCTCCTTTTTGCAGTAATAATGAATGACACATCCATAAATATTTAAGAGAATAAGGACAACCCTTTTATACCATGTACTGAGCACACCCGCCATTTTTCCCATTTTTTAAAATTGCAAAAGTGTATTCTGACAGTAGGCGCCACCTGCTGGATTAGCATTTCTATTCAGTTTATAAGTTACGTTTCACAAACTAATTTTGAGTGGAGCACGTGATATGATTGAGCACGACTGGCTCCTCATCTGTAATCAGTATTAATCCAGTCAGAGTGACCCAAGCTTACTATAAATGGATTGTTTTCTCCCTATCTTCGTTTTGGAGGAATCCCCCCTTCCACCCCATCTCCTCCTTTTCCTCCCTTTTCTAAGGGGGGCTCTCGAGACCTACCTGATCTCGGATCCCCTTATATGCTTATTGACTGGGCGGGAGCCTCGGGCTCAAGTATCTCCGAGCTCAGGGTTCTCTCCCGGGACAGCATGTCAAATCTGCTATTAACGCTAAGCATATTTAAGTGGGAACTCGTGAAATAATGATTTAGTTTAGGATTAGTTTCTTACGATCAGTATTGAATAAATATACTGCAAGTTAATGTTGCCAATAAAACTTCACTACTTTTTATACACATTATTCAACAACATACTTTACATGCCATTTTTGCACATAACATCTGCAAATATAACGTTGTATATAGAAATGTACTTGGACATACACTTGTCAATTTGTACATTCGCATTCACTACTTCTATTTTTTTAATATATTTATTATCTGGAAAAAACAAACAAAAAGCACTCTGGGGTAACTCAAAAGTTTGGTCGATGCTCTTTGGGTAAGGGATTCATCAAAACAACAACAAGAATCAGTCCAAGGCACTCGAAAAATGTGAAAAATTAAAAAAAGCCTTTATTCACATGGCTAAATCTCTAAAAACCTACGCGTTTCGGCAAGAGTCTGCCTTCATCAGGGTAACAGTGATCAGGTGCGTCTAGACTCTCTTTATATATCTAGAGTCTCTGTGTGTATATATATATATATATATATATATATACACACATATATATATATATATATATATATACATGTATGTGTATTTTCCCTTTTTTTCTTCTTCTTCTCTCTCTCTTTTCCCATATGCAAGTGGGTGTTTATGTATCTATGCCGAATTTATGATAGTAGACTTTGTTTGTTAAATTATTTGAGTGCCATTTGAGATGTTTAAACGAGTCATGTGACCGTAGTACTTAAAAGAGAATCTAGACGCACCTGATCACTGTTACCCTGATGAAGGCAGACTCTTGCCGAAACGCGTAGGTTTTTAGAGATTAAGCCATGTGAATAAAGGCTTTTTAAATTTTTCACATTTCTCGAGTGCCTTGGACTGATTCTTGTTGTTATATTTATTATGATCTGTTTTTGTCCTATCTCTGTCATTCTGTTGCACTGCAGAAGCTCTGTCACGATAACAAATTCCTCGTATGTGTGAACATACCGGGCAATAAAACTCTTTCAGATTCTGATATTACTGTTTAAAAGCTAAAGTGGTCATGCGGTCTTGAAATCTATGGAAAGGGTCTTTAAAAAACGTATTAAAATGTATTGAATTTCACTCTCTGATTCCTGTAAATATCCAGAAAATACATTACCTTTCACTTCATTGTGACACACATTCACACGCACGCATGCACTTTTTCATTGGGTCATTGGGTTCTCAGTGCATTATCATGCAGGAGAGAATATACCACACATTAACTCAATTATAAGATTCATCTAAAATCAATCCAGCTTCACTTTCACCATTATACGTCTCCCTCATATACTTCTCTCCCCACTTCCTACAAGCATTAAGACCTCTCAGTGGGACAGAAAAGCCTCATCCGGTCAGGAAAGCTCTGTTTCAGACAGATCAATAACTAACAGACACATGTTCATGTCTTTCAGCCTGACATCAGAATCCTGCCAAAGCTGAGCAAGTTTTAAACATCTCTAAAGATTAAAGAGTAGAATACGCTCTGACTGCTGATGGATCTCTGTAATTGCAGAGGGACT